AAAAAAAAAAAAGGGGCCAACAACACACTATAAGGTTCAGAAAAGTTGAAATTGATATTTCTAGGCATCTTTGTAGCTTGAATAATATAATTAATAGCATGCAAATTAGGAAGCACTTCATCCAACAGTTTCGATTTCGGATCTAATTATATGTATCGGTCCCTTCAGACTACTCCCTATAGAAACATGTATAAGTCTACATAAATACAAGGGATAACAGAAAGAGAACTTACTCCCTCCTTGTAGAAGCATATAGATCTTTGACTCATAGTGAAGTTGAGGATGCTTGGTCTTCACCGATTCCTAATAAATAGTAACCGAAGTACAAACATTCTGATCATTTAGTTCATAAATAATATCGAAAAATATCAACTTGTCCAAGTAAAACTTACCTCAACAAAGGTAACCTAAAGATTACACATTAAGCTCTACACTTCATAAATATATGATCAATTGAATTAAAAATGCTCGTAGCATTTTAGGCACAGTTTGACGAAGTCAACCAGTTTAAAGGTACCTCGATCTTAATAAAAGCAGCTACACTCATTGTTGGATTTTAGTTGATAATCCCAATTATTATTCTAGCACTACAGAGAAAGCATGTGATTGGATTTAAGTTGATAATCCCTTGAAACAAACGCTGGAAACAACAAAATCATTTAGGCAGCCCCATGATAGTATTCAACTCTAGGTTTTCCTTTTGGCAGTCATACAAACCATAACATAAAGACAGACTATTAACGAGCATTTCAATTGAAAAGCAATACCAGCTTAATGGCAACCTCTTCTCTGTTTTGGATGTTCACACCTACACCAATGTAACAAATTGACATAAATTTTGGACAGATGGAAGAAACACGGTACTCGCAGTGATCCGAATGGAACGAGGGAGAAAGAGGGGGAAAACTAAAACAGGGGAAACAAATAAAAACCAATATTATCAACCGAATCATGAAAGTTAAAGGGGATACATAGAAAGAGCTCGCCAAATGAGCCACCCCCAATTTTCCTCCCAAGTTCATATTTTCCTCCCACAACACGATCCATTGCAATGGACTCGAGCAGAAAATAAAAATATCAAATATCAAATATTACCCCCCAACAAAAAGAAGGTGTCAAATTCAGCCTTAATCGGAAACTTTAAAAAACCGTCTCGAGACTATGAATGCGCATAGACAAACGTAATGGAAGTTCTGAATGCTTAATCTACACGGTGGGATCCAACAAATTAGCAAAGATAATATAGCAAGAAATTCTATTTGCCCCAAGAAGCATCGTCAAATATACAGAAAACCCTAAACCGGATCCCAAATTGCTAGCTCACGATCCCCAGACGCTGATCTCATCGAGCAAAAGCCCAAAAACGACCATCAAAATCGAGCACCGACGTTTTTACCTGCGGATTAAGTGCTAATTTGCCAGATTGTTGAGAAATGGTGGGGAAAACAGAAGGATGGTGATGATTATGGCGAGGAAAAAATTACAGAAGGCAGACAAAGGAGCGGAAATTGAGGGATTAAAAAGAGAGAAGAGAGAGAGAGAGAGAAAGGGAGGTCTAGAAAGAGAAAGGGAAGGTGAGCAAAGACGATGGATTGTGTGTGTAAAAAGGCAAAAATGAGGTTAGAGTGGGAAGGTTGATGATTGGTGATATAAAAGAGTGAGTGGTGGCTGTTGGGAAAACAAATGCAACCTTGGAATCCGAACTAGCCCGCTAGAACCACGATCATGCAATCAAAACGCGAATAACCAAGAAATCATGCACGTCGATTAAAATCATAACCAACAAACGAGATTCACCACTACATTTAGGATATCCTGAGCACTCATCGAAACTGCTAAAATCAATGCTCGACTTCGACCAGCTCGAAATATGGGTTGGGATGAAGCTGCTAAAATCGTTGCTCGACTTCGACCAGCTCGCAAGATGGGTGGGGAGAAGACGAGTTGAAAAACTTCGTTCAACAACTATGAAGCTGCTAAATCGTTGCTCGACTTCGACCAACTCGCAAGATGGGTTGGGAGAAGACGAGTTGAAAAACTTTTGTTTAACAGCTATGAAGCTGCTAAAATCGTTGTTCGACTTCGACCAGTTCGCAAGATGGGTGGGGAGAAGACGAGTTGAAAAACTTTCGTTCAACAGCTATGAAGCTGCTAAAATCGTTGCTCGACTTCGACCAGCTCGCAAGATGGGTTGGGAGAAGACGAGTTGAAAAACTTTCGTTCAACAGCTATGAAGCTGCTAAAATCATTGCTCGACTTCGACCAGCTCGCAAGATGGGTTGAGAGAAGACGAGTTGAAAAACTTTCGTTTAACAGCTATGAAGCTACTAAAATCGTTGCTCGACTTCGACCAGCTCGCAAGATGGGTGATTGTTCGACTTCGACCAGTTCGCAAGATGGGTGGGGAGAAGACGAGTTGAAAAACTTTCGTTCAACAGCTACTAAAATCGTTGCTCGACTTCGACCAGCTCGCAAGATGGGTTGGGAGAAGACGAGTTGAAAAACTTTCGTTCAACAGCTATGAAGCTGCTAAAATCATTGCTCGACTTCGACCAGCTCACAAGATGGGTTGAGAGAAGACGAGTTGAAAAACTTTCGTTTAACAGCTATGAAGCTGCTAAAATCGTTGCTCGACTTCGACCAGCTCGCAAGATGGGTGGGGAGAAGATGAGTTAAAAAACTTTTGTTTCAACTATGAAGCTGCTAATATCATTGCTCGACTTCAACTAGCTCGCAAGATGGGTTGGGAGAAGACGGGTTACAACACTTAGGAAAATTCCACACACTACAACAGACACAAACATCGAAAAGCATCCACAACGAACGAAGAAGGATAGAAGAATTGAAAAGAAAGGATAAATATGGCATTCATAGAAAGTCGATTACATCATGAAACGCCTCGACCCTTACAAAAACGGCCAACATGGGTCGAGGCCAACAAAAAAAACAAACAAAACAAACAATCGAACATCAGGCCTGAGAGTCGGCAGTCGATTTTCAGCAGCATTCTCATCGTTCACAGGCTCAGTCCCGGCACCCTCCCCCTCGACGGGCTCCGTCCCCTGCTGCTCATCCGGCCGCTCGACCTCTATCTCCTCATCGACTGCTCATCTCCATCATAGCCAGCCCCACTTGGCCCAATCAGTTCGATAGGGCCGGCCAGGGGAGAGGGGGGAACCTCGAGTTGGGAAAAAAGTTTGGCCGCATGAGGCCAACCCACCCACCAGGGATAGTCAGAAGGAAGATCCCCATCGCCATAGAAGCCGTCGGGGTCAGGGAGTGTCTTCTTTACGGCTGCTCGATCGATTTTCCCGGAGAAGTCCGGCTTAGCCACAGCCTATTCCCACGTGTCGCAAGCGAAGTCGAAATATTGAATCGCCGCGGGAACTAGTCTGTCGTGGAATTCAGGCGAGTCACAGAACGCCTCAACCACAGCCTTGCGGTAGTCTTCGAGGAAGACTGCACCTGTCGGGGACTTCAAGAAGGTCCTGCGGCCTTCTTGAAGCCCGTTCTCCCTCTCGAACATGGCCTCGTCGGTGGACTTGGCCAAGTCGGCCTTCAACTTCCCGACTCTGCGGGAAGCCGTCTCCTTCTCGGATCGGAGCTTGGCAATGACGGCGTTAGCAGCCTCGAGCTCCTCCTCCTTCTCCTCGAGCTCCTTACACTTAGCCGTGTATTTTTCCCCCCAAAACCTTGACGTTGGTCTGGAAGGATGTAGCCTCCTCGATTATAGAAGGGAGGATGCATGCGAGAAGCTGTAAAAAAAAAAAAAATGAATGAATGAAATGACGAGAAAGTCGAGATAAGAGTTCGGACAGAAGAAAAGAGCATAGAAAACAAAATCTACCCGAGGAATGAGTCGAGCAGCATAACGGGCCCGATGATAATGGTTACCATCGGTCCGAGCCCTGTCGTCTTCAGGGAGAGTCGAGTGGAGATATTGAAGAATTTGGAGGGGGTTGGGGTTGTCGTAAAGCCGAAAAGGCTGCTCCAAGGTTCACAGGGGACGACTACCCCGCATCCTTCTCGACTGTCGGCTCTTCCCTTTTTTACGTTTTAGGGAGCTGGGAACCAGGGTCACGTCCCTCTGATCCTGAGCCCTTTTGCGGCAATGGGAGCCCAGCGGATGACTCGACTTAGCAGCCGAGGGAAGCACGACTCTAGACTTTTTGCCGGCAGTCGTCTCGACTGCCGCAGCCTTGAAACCAGAACCTAAACCGCCGTCAGGCTTCTTCGGAGGGGCAGGAAGAGCGACAGACTTGTCGCCTGCCTTACCCTTTTTGGACTCGAAACGGGCCAAGGCTTTCACTGTCGACATAAAAGAAAAAGGGAAAAGGTCAGTAAATGGGAAGATAATCATGTATATATGCATCAAATAATGGAAACCGGTGAAAAATACCCAGGCGATTGACAGTAAGTCAAAAACAGAGAAAGAAGCTTACGAGGATCACCGACTCGAGGAACACTCTTGTCGATACAAATCCCCACGTGATTAAGAAGGGAGCTATCCTTAGTTAGTCGACGAGCACTCCACACATGTTTATTCAACTCCCCCAACATGTCCGCGAATTGTGAGGAGTGAGGGCGTTTGTGTTGTTTCACCTTGCTGGTAATTCAAACATTGAGGAAAGATACACCCGCACGACGACCTAGGCAATGAGTGTCTTTGCTGAACCTATACCCGTAACAGTAAAGAAAAAACTCGGACACAAAACTACCTAAGACTATTCGGGAGAAGACTATGAAAGCCACCATTATTCGAATGGAGTTGGGAGTGAATTGGTTTATGGGTACATCATACAGATTGCTCAATGACAACTCATGTTGAATCGGGAAGCGCAATCCCGACATTATTGATTGACGAAAAACGTAAAACAATCACGGGGAGGATGTTCGAAGTCATCGCTAAGTGTAGGAGCAACCAATTCCTAGTCGGAGGGAAGACCACTGTACTCCCTGAAGCCATCGATTTCGGCTGTAGGGGCTTAAACAAAAGGGATTAAGAACAGCTAACTTTGCTAACGTGACAGGCTAAAGTTACAGGCTCGACTGAGAGAGCTATTAATGAATGTACAGAACTTGTTCTATACACATGAATGTCCAAGAGCCTAAGGGGAATACCTCGAGGGATTAAATTAAGTCGAGGAGATTCTGGGGCGCGAGAAGAAGTCCGGGGGTTTCCATAAAGTCCCCGACAAGGTTATACACATCCCAGTCGATTCCGAAGGACGAGGCAGTGGAATGAACAGAGTTCTTTGGCTCGACATTGGGATTGGCACTCGATCCGACAACGAATATTTGTACAGAATCGGAACTCGAATAGTCATCAATTTGACGAGCAAGAGATCCGGAAACGGGGTCGGAGTCGGAACTAAAAAAAAAAGGAGAGAGAACGACAGTCAATAGATGAGGATAATTATAACCGCGATTTGGCTCCAGAAGACGAAATAAAACAATGAAGAAGGGAGGGGAGCATGCGAGTCATCCTTAATCCAACTCGACTCGACAGAAAGACAAAAAGAGGGAAAAAGCGAGGGGAGCACGCGAATCATCCCTGATCCAACTCGACTCGACGTAAGGATGTCGAGCCGACGCTAGCCAGCCCATAGAAAGGCGGAAGAGTCGATTTTTCATCAAATCGACTGACAAAAAAAAACACTTAGAGAGACGAGATGCCGTGTTGAAAGATCTAAAGGAAAAAACGCCAGAAACCATCTAAAGAAACTCAAAAAATCTGATGAACATATGAACTCCAAGCATATCACCCAGAAAACAAAAAAAATAAAAATAAAAATCGCACAACAGGAA